GGAGGGTGTGTGTGTGTGTGTGTGTGTGTACACTTGCCATTGTGGCCCATATATCAGTGGCCAGAGGCAGAGCTTTAGTATTAGCAGGGTCTCAAGGGGAGATCAAGGCATCTGCTAGAATAAAGCATGACCAAACATCAATACTACCCTGCTCCCCCCACCTCTCTGCCTCTTTCTCTCACATGTGGATATATGCAGTGTCTTTATCATGCTTTATTTCACTCAATCAAACGTGTTAACACCAATTTTAACAAATACACCAAATATATAGGCAACAGTAAGAAACACCTGACACTAGCGATGATGCATGGCAGTGATTGCCACTTGAAATAAATAGGCTGTCTCGCTTCTTCCTCAGTGTACTCTCCGGTGTCCCAGGACAGTTTTCCATTTATTAGACCGCCGCCACTTATTGAGCTCTTTGTGGGGAAGGCCCCTCAGTAATGGAGCAATGTCATAACGCACACAGCCGGACTGTGTGTTCAACTTGGAATGAAATTAAAACTCCTAATTGCATAGGTGTTTCTGTTTGTAAACCCAATTATTAGGATGTGGGAAGAAAACCTTGAGCCTAACTAAAAGTATTTTATTCAAGGGACTTCATTCCAACTAGCCTACAGTGTGAAAGAGTTCAGGTGGTTGAAAGAAAATAGACCCTTTTATACAAGATTGAAATGGAGTCATTAATTATTTAAAGGAAGCCAGCACTTCCAGATACTGCATGGTACAATTGGTACTGTATTAAACCTCAGACTGGTGCGTGTGCTTGCTCGCACGCATCACTCTGCACTGGCATGATGAGCTTGTCATAATAAAAGTGGCTGCACCAGTCCACATAAAGGCAGAGGAGAGTTTCCTTCCAGGTATGACTTACATCAGAGGCCACTTCTGCTTGCTAACTGGTTATGTATCTACAGTTTCTGTTGGGAGCAGCCTTGGTTTCACTGCACGTTCTCTGCATGATGATGTAATCAATCTTCCTCTTTCTCGACACACACACACACACACACACACACACAGTCACACAATACACCCATGCACATCTGGCTGTCATAAAGTTGTTGAGCGCATGCACAGAAAAGCCATCGTCTTTTGGTTTATTAAAAGTCTCACAAAAACCAGCTCCAATTGGATTTGGATTTTTCATGAGACATAAAGTATATGAATATATATATATATGACATTTTCAAGCTGATTAAAAAAAAAACAGTTTTACCAATAGTGCATCAGTATGATGATGCTGTAACGTGTTATCTTCTAACTTCTCTCAGGTCTCAGATTCAGATGTTTGGGTGTTTGTGGCGACAGGTGCATCTTGAATGAGGAGTGTTTTCTTACTGCATGAGTGTGAGTTAATGCGACTCTTTTCTTTTCCTTTCTGAAATGACGACACTGCTGGAAATGTTGTTGAAAGACAGAAAGAAGCTGCACCATCTTCCACATTGGGTGCGTTCACATCCTTCAAAAACATGATTCACTACATCCATCTAGTGGCAATCTACTGTCATTATGTGTGAAATAACCATAGGCCACAATTCATGCTGCTCATTCATTGTAAACATGGCATGGTGTGTTGAACCTGGAATCATCTTAATTAAGTGGTTTTGAGCCAGTGTTTTCTCCCTAATAACAACAGGAAATGTTCATGGCATTTAATGGCAGGTGTAATTGATGACATTAATAGTGGCCAACATACACAGTCAGAGGCCTGGAACACACTTAACTGGAATGTATCCATTATTAATAGAATTAATTATACCATCCATCCTTCCTGCCTACCGTATGCAGGGTCATGGGGGGCTGGAGCTGATCCCAGCTCTCACTGGTGAGAGGAATGGTACACACTGCGCAGTTCACCAGACTATCGCTGCTGTGAAGCATCAGTGCGAACCACTGCACTACAATGTCACAAAGGGTGCCCTAACAAGGGACTATCCATCTCCCAGTAAAGATTAGTATGTTCCTTCTGCTTCGGACAGTCAGATTAATTTATAGCGCTGCTGAGAGGCTGAGAGTGGACAGGGATTTCATGAAGCAGCTTGAGGAAACACACACATTACATACATGATCATGTGATGTCAGTGTAGCTAGAGGCAGACAGTCAGACTTATCTTTAATTGGACTTTATTATTCTAAATAAAGTCAGTTCATTTTTTGAAACGATGAAACAATGAAAATTAATTTATAGTTCTTTGTAGGATAAATACCTTTGCAGCAAAGCAGTTTTTCAGTTTTATGTTTTAGGTGAAAACAAACCCCAGCTTTAAACACTATCCACGTGAACTGATATACAGTGGCTTCCTTCAGCAGGCCAAAATGAATTTATAAACTTTATTGTCATAGGCATTATCACAGTAAGACAAAGGAAATAAACCCACTAAATGAAACATTAGTAAACAGCATTTTGCTATAAAAATGTATCATACAAACATAGGTGCGTCATGAAAAACATCACACAATCAGTTCACAACAAGGAAACACAGCCCATAGAAGTAGAGGGAAACAAACTACTCTGCAGAGGACTTGGAGATCTAGAGCACCTGAATAAAATATCCATATTTAAAGGTGGAGTAAGAAATTCTAGAGAAATCTAATACCATGGCAATTACCATGATATAGAGCAAACAACAACAGCAAATAATGTCACTAACATTAGCTAAGTTGTGGGTTAGCAAATTGTCACAACAGTTGCTGCTGCAAAGCTAACGTGCAGAGAGGACAAACGGTCTCTGAGCCAACACAGCAGTTACAGACAGTGATACTCGCATCTCTCATCTATTATAGCTAACATCACAACAACAGGATATCTTTGCAAACTAGAAAGTAAGCAGAATATACATGGGCAATTTAATGTTACCTGACGTACAAATCGTGGAATGGCTGGAATAGTGATGCGTGGCTCGCATTCGTCTGTAACTTCCTAAAGAAAAAGGGCCGTATTATGGCAAAACTGATTTATTTGAGTATAATTTATTTATTACATATGGGAATTTGCTCAATAGTGCATTATTAAATAGTGAGTGCTGAAAGGAGGTCCCTTTTTGGCATTAGCTGTCTGGCTAATGTGAAAGAAAGTGACAGATGAACATGTGGCACGCTGGATATTTTAGTGGTTATTATGCCCAGAATAACTTTTATATTAGTTTGTGTTATTACCTTGACCCTCCCACCGCCATCATTCTTTTGGTTATTAAACCCACCTGCTTTCACCTATAGATCTAGAGGGAGATCCATTTTCACCAGTAGATGGCAGTAGCAGCTTTGTTACGTTGGCCCAGTTTGAGCGTAGAGTAGTTGTGATTGGCCTATTCATCTTGCTGTGCCTCAATTTGGATACTTCTTACTTCCATGTAGTAGGTTACACTGACTGTGCATACTTACTTGCGTAGTGCGTGAATTTCGACCAGGTAGTGTCGTCTCAAGTCAAACATGGCTGTTGTGCACTTATCGGAGATGATAGCAACATTTGACCGCTTCTTTCTTCTTTTTATTGGCGAATTGCCACCGGACAGAGCATTACTGCCAAATTAACCCAATAAACATAGGCCTACTGATGCTTTCTATCAAAGTGAAGTGTTCACCGGAGCAAAGTTAACCGCTGCAACATCCCTCGTATCCTGCCATGTAGCCAAGATGGGGACCATTGAGGGTGAGAAGTGTTTGGCATTCCACACTCAACATTTTGACGGTGAAGAGACCGCTATACTAAAGAGTTCCTCACTTCCGCTTCCGCATGGGACCTTATTTCAAGAAAAATAAGTACGGTAGTCAATGACGAAAGACTACTAATGTTTTGATGCTGTTTTAATTGTGATGTGAATTAAACATATGACAATGTCAATTTAAAAGATAATTGCAGATTGTCGTAAAACAGTAAAGTTACATTTAGTTTTGTGTGAAACCCATTCAATGAACTATATCTCTCGTCTCGCACAGTATACGTCTCCAACATTTGAACACGATAATGCTAGCTAACGTTCATTGCTTGGTTGCTGCTAGCTAGACAACTTAGCTATGTTCCACGCAGAAATGTATCTCACCTGATGTGTTTAACCCATCGACTCAAGATCCTTTTATTACATTGTCCTCTTTGACGTTAGCTTCAGTAACGTTAGCTTCAGTCATTGAGAGAAAACATTATGATGTCACATACGCGACTTTTGGGTCTGTGGTCGTTGTAATTATGTATTTTCACAGTCTTATAATTCAACAGTTTTTCACCAAACTGTGACTTTCTTGACTTTTAGATGTATATTTTCCATCATCATGTGTAATTCAGAGCACAATGCAAACAGGATCAAAAAATCTCTTGCCATGTGAGGAGGTTTATATTCTTCGTTGCTAGTCCACATGGCAGTTACAGCCCAGTGGCATGTTAGCTGCGCCAGCTGTGATTCACTAATGACAGTTCAATGTGCATTCAACTTCAGCCTTACAATGACTGAAATAGGGCAGAACGAAAAAATATCTTATTGTGATTATGTTGACTCATGTTGCGATTGCGATATGATTTGCTGAATGTTATTGAAAAACACATTTTAAATTATTGTGGGATGATTTGCAAGGATCTGAACCAAAGATGTTTTCTTAAGCTGTAGAATATGATGTGTAGGTCAGGAAATCTCTGCAGACAATATTTTATTTAAAATGGTATTTTGACACACATTTTGCCTTTCACAAATACTGTACCTCCTGCAATTTGAAAATTGCACTAGGCCATATTGCAATTTCAATACGATTTTAGTTTTTTGTGCTGCCCTAGAATTAAATATGCTTTCCTTCCTTAATACTATCAATCATTTAAAATATTGGACCTCGATTCAACAAAAAAATGAAGACACAAAGCAGAGATACATCAAAATCAAACATTCACTTTCATCAGCATATATGATTTCCTCTAATGACTTGTGGTGCAGATCTAAAATTATATATAGTACATATGTTTATTGTCAGTTGTGGGACACTCAGACTCACACTGAATTGATGTGGACTAGCCATACATTAGCCATAGTTTATTTGCCATAGCCAAAATATTTTTCTTTAAACATTTTGTAGTTGCCATGCATGTGGAGATATTGAAGAAATTAAGATTTTAATAAGGTGGATTCAGAACAGTTAATAAGCACATCAGCTAACATGAAATAGTGCTACTTCAACATTTCAACACCATTGTTGCCCCATGATGTTTGAAGTTATAAAACGAACAGGTGCACGAGTATGAAATGTTTAAACGCAGACGATAAACATAAATATACCAAAGATTAATCATGTTTGTGAATCAAGTCAGGATGCCACATTGGCCCTAATTTTGTACTTGCAGTAACTGCTACAGTATGCTGCAAATTAGTCTTAGTGGGGGGATTACAATATTTAGGAATACACATTTAGCCATTTAGGTAAAAGAGGAGTATTGACTGGAGCAACTTTGTTGTCTGTACCATCAAATAATAATAATAATAATAAAAAATGAACACAGTCTTCAGTGAACATCTTTGGTCATATGTGTATGTAAATCTACTTTACTGGTGCTTCCTTCCTATAATTGGACTTTGAAGCTCACTCATACCACTGGTAACAACACTTTGGCAGTAGGCAGATGTCCTGGTTTCAGTCTCCAGCGGAGAATCCATAATGTGGGCCTAAATTAATTAAAATTTCAGCTCAACGTTACATCACAGTTTCATGGACTTTAGCTGGAATACTAAGAATCTAGGAATCCAGGCTGTCAAGCTCATGAAAATATGTTGTTACACTTGTCATTTTTGAGGGATCTAACAAAAATATCCTGTAACCCCTGCTGCCCCTCAGGGCACCCCTGTCCCTGCTAAAGTCTGACAAACACTGCATACCAGAACCAGGTCATATTGTTTCATTTGCCATACCAACATTTCTTCTGCACTGCAGTTATCTAAGCAGCAGAGTGGCATAACTTTGATTTACAATACAGTATGAGTCATCAGGCTCAGAAACAGCTTGTAAATGATTAATTTCAGTGGATGCGTCTACATCCAAAACAAGTCTTGGCTTGGAGAGGAGAGTATGGTGTGGTCTGTGGTCCAAAATCATAATAAATAATTTAGCTTCTGCAGAGTATAGGGGTTGTTATTGTCCAGCTGGTCAAGAGAGTAGCTCCACTGCCTCAAAGACTTCTGAGGAGAAGTTTAGGCTCACAAAATAGTTTTCGCTTTCTTCTTCACTCTCTTCTAAGCAGACACTGTCATGGTTCATGAGACTGCTTTCAGACGTGGGACTGATGACGATTATGCGTGGAACACCCTGAGGCGACCCGGGATCAGCGGATGGGATTTTTCCCAGATTCAGGGAATGGAAAGAGGCACTCTTGTGGCTGCTCAGCCTATCACTGATGCTGCCTTTCTCCTCCCCTGCATCAAAAATCTCATTGGTCAAACTCTGGCTTCGCCTCCTGGTAAGAACTAGTAGGGGGAGAGTGGCGATGTTGAGAGAGGTGGAAACCAGTTCATGTTCACAGGTACTCAATGATTCACTCATGGTAGATGGATGCTGGCAAAGTAAAAAAATAATTACAAAAAAGAATACAAGGACAAAGTAATTGTCAAAACATGAGTGCATGAGTGCATGCAGGCAAATAAAATTAGCATGATCAAAACACCTCCAAGCCCACATGGGGAAAAAGTAACAGTTAAAGGTTAAGTGTGTAAGTTTTAGTGACATCTAGTGGTGAAGGTTGCGAATTGCAGGGCAGTGAAATGTGAAGTTCAGCTGCTGATCTGAGCTTCCCTGCAGTTACAGTTTTATTGCCAATTATATTCATCAGCTGTTTGACTCAGGAAGGTAAGGGCACATTTCTGTGAAAGCCATAACAGAGCGCTGGAGAAGAACTACATGAAATATACATACAACATAAAACATATTTTTTCTAACAGCGCAGTAAAGGTTTAGCTGGCTGATCTGAGCTTCAATGCTGTATGCTACCCTTTTATTGCCAATTAGTGATCTGCTGATTGTCTCAAGAACATAACCAACAAAGCCAAAACAGAGAGCTGGAGAGAGGAATTGAAATTAATCCAACTACATATTTTACACCACAAGCCAAAGCCAGGGCTGGAGAATAAACCAATCCAACTAACCTTACATAATTTTTCTTCCAGGGCAGTAAAGGTTTAGCTGGCTGATGCTTCCATGCTCTAAGCTAACCTTACGGTTTTATTGCCAATTAACGTTACTGATCAGCTGATTGTCTCGCTAATGTAACCGGCAAAGCCAAATCACAGGCTGGAGAATAAGTAGGCGATATAAAATTAATCCAGCTACATATTTTACACCACTGACAGGGGAAACACCTCACGTCTCTCGGTGATTATGGCCAGCTTCAACCTAAAGCTATCAAACAACAGCTTTCATTTGCATTGCTAAAGTCTGACAAACTTAAGTTAATTACCTGTCCAGCAGAAAACAGACAACTTCAGCACCGCTTTGAAAACATCTGTCCCACATCAAAGCCTTCCATCTGGGAAAATCTACATCCATGATTTCTGTGTCAGCTGTCTGTATCTGTCCCGACTCCGTCTGGCTTCATGGTATAAAGATCCACAGGCTGTCGGCTCTTGTGCTAAATAACACGTGTGTGCTCGTTCATTTGTCCAAATGTCACTTCTCTTCTTACTTGTAATAAACCAGAAGACTAATCAGAGACTGCATATTATTGTTGTTATTATTTCCTCTTCTTCTTCATTGTACGTATTCAGTGTAGTGACGGGTGCCTACACTGGCGGAATAACACAAGCAGAAGAAGAACGCCGTGATGACGAAACGCGCTCTGTAGCGCTGTTTGTCCAATGTCGGCTATGGTAGACACATGATGACAGAATACTGTGACCTCCATAGAAGGGGGTGCCCGCGGTTATGTAGATATAAATTTCTCATTGTAAGGTAATAAAAACATAACGGTTCATTATTTAACCACTGAAAACATAGTTATGGATCTTATATTGCATTTCTGTCAATAGATCTCAGAAATATTATACACTGAACCTTTAACCATACAAAATACATTTGAGCTCATTTCACACCTTTTTATGTTTTGTTTTCTCACCTTGACTGCTGCGTTGGTCTTGGTGGTCTTCCGCTCTAATTCCTTCCTATAGGACCTCCCTCTGCCTCTGTACGATGACATGCTCCTGAAGGAATCACCTGAGTTTCTTCCCAAAGTCTCCATCTCTACATCCCTCAATAACTGCAAGACACAACAGAACTAATGTGAGCTGAACTGAACTAAACGACACGTAAATAATTCAAGAGGAACTCACCTAAGATCACCATGTCATTTTACTTCCATTGATTGTTTCAACAAAAAATGTGAACATGAACACGTTCCTCTGACGGTAAAACTCAAAAGGTGTCAAGAATCTAAATCACAGAATTATCAGAATGGTGAGCTTTGAACAGTCGCAGATGCATAGGATGGTGGTCTTTTAGTTTGGGAAGGTTCACATTTGCTGTATGTCTTACAATGGTGCTGGACATGGCATAAAAAAACAAATTTAAATAGATTTCCCATTCATCAAGGTTTCAATTGTGGCAAAAATGATCAGTACAAATGATAACTTCTAAGAAATGTACTTTAATGTAATGTTCTTCACTTTCAATGAATGTTATACAGTATTAGCACAAACATCAGGTATATATTAATTTATGGAAAGTAGTTAATTGATAAAGAGCAAGAATGCTTTGTTGTTGTTTTGTTTATTATTATTTTGTTATTACGAGACTCCCAAAAGCACTAAAAAAGGGACGTGATTCCTTTAGATCAGTGGTAGCCATCTTGTAGAACAACAAATACAGGATAAAAAAAAAACATTACCATGCCAGTGGAGTTGGAGGAAGCTGTAATAAAGTGAGTCCTTGATGCTGTTGATTGTCTGCTAATGATGGAGTCCCTGAAAGAGGACTCACTGATGGAGGAGGAGATGCATTCCTTTCGAGGAGTGGGAGCCAGAAACGACAGGAAGGGAAACTTCTCTGCCAGAGTCATCCTAATGAAGTACAGAACAAAATTAAAGCCCTCAGCTCAGGCTCAGTTTATTAAATTTTTTAGACTGCAAAGTTTATTCGAAATGATTTTTACTTTTAAAGTTGGATATGATGAACTATCACTTCCAATACAAGATATAATACAAGACGACAGATACAAAAATACAACACTGATTCTTCATTTACCTGTATTTGTTGTGTATGATAGCATAGATGAAAGGATTGTAGATGGCGGAGGCTTTTGCTATGATTGCAGGGACAGCCTTTGAGTATGGTGACAGGATGTTGGCATGGCTGCATAAGACAGAACAACAGGATCAAAATTTTCCTCATGTTCATCTTGTGTTCTTTTGTTTTTAGTGACAACACAGCATGACCACTGCAACTCAAAGTTCACCTATAACTATCTATTTCTATATTTGGTAACATAATGATGAAGCGGCAAATTGGGTCAAGGATTAACCAAAATGTGCCAGCAGCCACAGATGGGTGGCTAAGTCCATCTGAGTGTGTGTGTGTGTGTGTGTGTGTGTGTGTGTGTTTGTCTGCATGTAAGGCCACCTTTCCCCTGTGAATGAGCAGGGAAAAGATGTTATTTCAAAGTTACATAACTACATCCCAATCTACCGTATGTCCCAAAACAGACATGCGATTTAGTGAATACTGTGATAGTTTGGATAAGCAGAGGGCATATGAGCAACTTTACCATCTGTTGTATGTCACTCATCCAGGGAACTTGGCGCCTAGCTGACACAACATTATATAACGACACATACAATGTCATTTTGGAAAATTTTTCATCCAAATTGCCAGCACACAATCCATACTCTTAAGTCAGAGTGTAGCATGGCAGTCACCTGGAATTTTCATGCGTGCTTTTTAAAGAAGCAGGCACATAGAAATATGATTAGATTTCCCCTCTTATAATGAAATACAAGGCAGTTGATGCTACAATGAAACAAATATCTCTAGATATCTTTTAAAGGTTCAGTGTGTAAGATTTAGTGGTATCTAGCAGTCCAGACAGCACACAGATATGATGGGACTCCTCATAGGCACACATAATTTTAAAACGAGACAGTGATTATCTATCTTCTCAGTGAAGGTTTAGTTACAACTCTGCAAAAAAAACAAACTAATGCATTATGGAAAGCAGTGGATTCAAATTGAAATGTTGATTAGTGGGGCAGACTGGGCAATATGGATGCACATCTCTGAGTAAATAATAAACATCACTTATTCAGTCAAGTCATAATATAAATTAGGGCTGGACAATAAAAGAATAGCCTAACAATAATTATCACAGTATAATTTTCCTCAATAACAATATAACAAATGTTCAATAAATATTCTTATTCTTATTCTTAATATCTTATTAATTTGAATCATGAACGAATTAGCACTTCATTTTTCTATAAAGATATTTATTTTATTGAGGAAAAGGGGACTGAAAAAAGGATTTAACTTAATTTTACTCATGCACATTTGTTGAAAAAAGATTTTTATCATAATTGTTTTGAATGTTCTACATCAGATTTGTGAAGTTATCCACTGTTTGGTAAGTGATTTTCATGTTCTGACCATAAAGAATAGTTTAAACCACAATTAACTATATGGTTTCTTCAGCTTTCACTAAGGAGCAAAAATCAGCATTTAAACTCGATAGAAGTAATGATTTGACATTTATCATGATAATTATCAATATCGAAATAGTATTTTAGCTAAAATGTTATTAAAATGTTGTTAATGACATTAATATCTAGCAAGTAGATATCTATTATTTAAAGGGGCTATGCTTAAATTAGTCAGTAGAGTAGATGCTGGCTCATAAGCCAATACGAGCACAGTTGTTCCAAATCCAGTACGAGCACAGCCAGAGATGTACAGCCAGAAGCAGTCTTAACAAAGGATCTGAGGATTTTTCTAGAAGAGGTTTCCTTTCAGGCTCATAACAGAGAGAGACTGTTCCCCTTCGAGGGAACTCAAACTGCGTCGGTGACAACACTATGGGAACGCCTCTGGGCGTGGCAGGGCTGAAATCATGAATGAAACTACTCCAATCCTATTGGCGTTGCTAGAACGGTAGTGTGTGACGGCGTAACTGGAGGCGTATATAAGCACGCCGGCACACCGGACACATTAGCTTTTTTCTATTAAGCAGGCACTCTGGCATGTTTGAGACTACTCAGAAGAAAGCTACCACAAGACCCCTGGCTCGACGCCCGGCGGTCACTGAGGCAGCGCGGCGGCTTCGGTCATGGGGCGCCCAGCGCTACATCTCCGAGGACATCAGGACTGCCGAGGCTTTTTCCCGTTCCTCATCTGCTGACTCCGCCTCCTCTCTTCCCCATTCGGGAGTCCGCTTCTCGGCTTCTCCCGCCTGAGGTATGAGTTTGGAGAGGCTTGCATAGTCTGATTCTGAGGAGCTAGACGTGCGTAGCATCATGGAGGATGACTTCCGGGAGCCGGGCCAAATTCATCAGACCACGCCCAGCTATGAGAGGCGGGGCAGGAACCGCAGGCCGGCAGTAACTTCTATGAGCTTATGCAGCCCGAGCGCCACCCCCGCATTCTTTCCTGATTTGCACAATGAGTTATGTAAATCATGGAACAGACAAAAAAAAAAAAAAACAAAGCTGCTCTGCACGGCTGACTGTGTCCCCTCTGCTGGACTACAGCAGCGTGACAGAAACTAAGCAGCACGGCTACGGAACGATGCCTTGGGGGGAGGAAGCACTCGCGAGCTATCTTTCTCCCACACTCGCTTCGTTCCTTCAGATGTCGGCGCTCCCCACCAAGCTGTGTCGGACGAAACATCCGCTTTGGTGGGCAAGGCCTACATGGCAGCGGGTCGAGCTGGTGCAAGCCTGCACACTATGGCCATCTTGCAGGCGTACCAGGCCGATCTTCTCAAGACTATGACCTAGGGGGAGGTCCCTCTGAGGAGGACCTGACTGAGCTCCGTAGAGCTACGGACTTAAACGCTCCGTGTTACCAAGCATTGGCTGCTCCATGGCAGCATTGGTGGCTACGGAGCGCCATCTGTGGCTCAACCTCTCGGGCATCCAGGGGAAGGAGAAGGCTTTTCTCCTGGATGTGCCCCTCTCTCCTACTGGCCTGTTTGGTGAGGCAGTGGATGCTGTCATCAGCAGGTTTCAGCACGCTGAAACACAGGGAGAGGCGTTTGAGCAATATCTCCCCCACCGGTCTGGGTCCAGGACGGCGACGGCTGAAAAAAGATGAGCTCAGCCCTCGTCTAGCTCCTACCGCTGGAGCCAGAAGCGAAGCGACACTTCCTGTAGTCCCCCTCAACAAAACCGGGACGCGAGGCAGCGCTCTCGCCCACAGCCCCCCGAGAGGCTGACCGAGGTCCCCTCCCTTGTGGCGGCTCAGGCATCAGGCGCTGTTTTCCCGCCGTCTTGGCACTCGGGACATGCTAACCGCCAGCGAGCTCTCACCAGTCTGCCCGCCTCGAGGGGTTGCAGCTGGAAAACGATCGGGTTCACACACCGTGGGTCGCCTGCGAGTTTCCCTGCCGGTCCTCCGCTTCAGGGTGCCACCAGGGACCTACGCATAACACTGGCCCTGTGGGTCCTGCGCACCGTAGTGGATGGCTACAGGCTGCAGTTCCGGGTCCACCCCCCGCAGAAGTTCAAAGGGGTGGTCTGGACTGCCATGCACGCGGGGCAGAGCCAGGTGTTGGGAAAAGAAGTTCGCTCTCTGCTGGAGAAAGGGGCCATAGAACTCATTTCCCCGCCAGTCAGGGAGTCCGGGTTCTACAGCCGGTACTTCATAGTTCCCAAGAAGGACGGAGGACTGCGTCCGATTTTAGATCTGCGGTCCCTGAACCAATCTCTGTGGAGATTCAGGTTCAGGATGCTCACCATCCCCGCCATCATCAGTCACATCCAATCCGAGGATTGGTTTGTCACGATAGATCTATGAGACGCATATTTCCACATCTCCATCCGTCCCTCTCACAGGAAGTTCCTGAGGTTCGCCTTCGGGGGCGCGGTGTACCAGTATCGGGTTCTTCCGTTCGGCCTAGCACTCTCTCCTGGCACGTTCACCAAATGCATGGATGCAGCTCTGGCCCCGCTGAGGCTCCAGGGCATCCGCATATTAAACTACATCGACGACTGGCTCATCTTGGCTCAGTCTCGGGAGTTAGCGGTTCGGCATCGAGATGTCGTCCTCGCCCACCTTCAGCATTTGGGGCTACGGCTCAACGCGAAGACGAGCGTGCTGACGCCCGCCCAACGGACTATGTTCCTAGGGGTGGCGTGGGACTCGACAACGATGCGGGCCCACCTGTCGCCTGCACGCGTCGGGTCCATTTTGTCCTCGGTGACCAGAGTGAAGCTAGGCCGCACCATCACTGTGAAACACTTTCAGAGGGTGTTGGGTCTCATGGCGGCAGCATCCAGCGTAATCCCGTCTGGCCTGCTGCACATGAGAGCCCTGCAGTGGTGGCTAAAATCCAAGGGATTCTCCCCGAGGGGAAATTCATTCCGTCTGATACGGGTTATGAGCAGGTGCCTTCGTTCCCTGTCAGTATGGAGGAAGCCTTGGTTCTTGTCCCAGGGTCCCGTGTTGGGAGCGTCATGTCGCCGGACAATTATTTCGACAGATGCCTCATTCGCGGGGTGGGGCGCGGTCATGGACGGCCGCTTTGCGAGAGGCTCCTGGCAGGAGCATCATTTCTCTTGGCACATAAATTGCCTGGAAATGTTGGCAGTTTTCAGAGCTCTGAGGAGTTTTCTGCCCGCTCTCCGCGGTTGCCACGTCCTTGTCAGGACCGACAACACGGCCTGTTTGAATCACCAGGGGGGTCTGCGCTCGCGCCCGTTATGCAAATTGGCACATCAGATCCACCTGTGGTCCCAGCAGAGACTGCTGTCCCTCAGAGCGACATACGTCCCTGGGACCCAGAATCAGGGAGCAGACCTGCTGTCGAGACAGGGGCTGAGGCCCGGAGACTCCACCCCCAGGTGGTGGAGTTATTATGCGAAAGGTTCGGCCCCATAGACGTGGACTTGTTTGCATCTCGAGAGACTACGCACTGTCCCCTGTCCTGCGTTTCGGGTCCCCCAAGGCTGGGCTCCCCGCTTCTAAACACACGATCAGCAACTGGATTGTTCAGACTATTTCCCTGGCCTATCAGGTGCGCAGTTTACCTTCACCTATGGCCGTAAGGGCGCACTCTACTCGAGGCATGGCGGCCTCTAGGGCCCTCCTCGTAGGGCTTCGCTTCAGGATTTGTGTGAGGCAGCTGGCTGGGCCATTCCTCACAC